TGATTTTCTATTTTAGTTTTGAATTTTTCTTTGAAATTTTCCAAACTTGAATAGATTAAGCCAACTGATGAGTCCTTTAGCAGGGACGAAACGCGTCTTGGTAGCTATTACACGCCCACACCCACACCCACCACACCCTCCCCTTATCTCTCTTTCTTCCCTTTTCACTTTTTCCCAATATCACCATGAATAAGCAAGCAATAAAGTGGGAAAAAAAGGCTTATCTCACTTTCTTCCCAGTGTGATAAGGCAAGAAAGCTTTGAATATAAAAAGACTTCTTCTAGCCATGAAAACGTAACGCTTGTATTTGTTTCCTCTTCCCATCAGTGCAAGTGTATCAAAACAATGATGAATGCCTTTCATGCTCTCCATTTTCTTTTCATCAGCATTGCTCAACCTGCTGCAGTCAAGGGTAACATTGATTTTAAATCTGTCAAAGCGAGTTCATGAAAATAACTAGAGTAGATGTCGAAATCATGAGTGCAGAATATTTCCTATTTTGAGATTCTTGGTTACTTCACATGCTTTCTTATATTAGCAGACCATATGTTAATGTTAATGAAGAGACCAGCCAGTAAGTAAATAGTGTTGTAACCTGTAATTAAACGTAAGATGCTGTTATACAGGAGACCATGTCTATAGCCGTGCTATCTGTGCATACATCTTATTAAAATCCGCCACCTACAGCCGCTGCGTGAACAAGTACGCCGATATGATGAACCAAGAATTTTGAAACAACTAACAGTCGGCATAAAAAATGTCGATCAAGCCTTAAACAGCTGATTTGATCTTCACAACCGTTTAGGCCCGCTCATATCAACAAGAGCCTATTTCTAAAACGCAAAGTCGCAAAGAAACTGCGAACGCAGTTCGATTCGTAATAGTCGAAAGAGGGTCAAACGACAAAAATCTCACAGGCGTAGCCCCAGTAGGTAGCAGAAAAAGACGAAACATCAATTTTGGCGTTGAGTGTGCTGGACGCGCTACTATCGACGCCGAAATCTAGTTTCTGCTACCTTTCGGAGGTGCTTCTCTGAGATTCTTGTCATTTTATCTTATTTGGAACGTTACAGATCGAACTTCATTGACCGTTTTTGTGGATTTTTCGTTTTAGAAACACCCCTAACTTAATATGGAAGTTGGTAGTCACCCCGCTTTATACCTATAGTAACAGGATGACTACTGAAAAGATACGAGGAGATTAAGTCGTGCTCTCCAACTTTTCAAAAAAATGTGGGTACGGGGAGCGAGATAGAAGAGCCCGCTTAAAGTGCAAGTTCAACTGTTATGATAATCTGTCTGTTTCTAGATTTGCAAAAAAAGGGACACGTCGAGTTGCACTCAACTCTTTAATCATGACAATCACCATCAAGTGGATTCAAAATGAAACTGGCGCGGAAGTTCGTATTGAGAAGGGGGATGGAAAGGAAATTCGACTTCAGAGTGGGGAAAGAGGTGATCAACGTTGGGAGATGCCTATGTGGCGTTCGGGCCAGCGAATGATTATCAACAAGAGTCACCCACGAGTGTGGTTTGTTGATCGTGATAATGCTATTCTGGTGTCGACCAACGAAGGAAGCACATGGGATCACTATATGACAATCAAGGGTGGAGCTTCCTATGGTATGGTTATCCGAAGTAATGGAGTCGCGATTCAAAATCCTTAACCTTTTCGCTTACACTCTTTTATTATAACAAGAACCAAATAAATCAAGATGTGGAAAACACTAGTAATTGTTTTTCGTTTCAAACGGTTAATCCATGCGCATCATATAATAACATGCAGTGGACTCTTAAGATGACGAAGAGCTGATTCATCACTAATCTTATTGCAGTGACAAGGCCATAAAAATAAGAGGGTGTGTTGTTAGATTTGACTGAATTAAAGTCAATCAATAGCTAGCAAGACGCGTTTCGATAAGTGTAAGGCTACTACAATACTATAGGTATTTCGATGTTGCAGAAATCTTATCAAGTGGCACAATATATTAGTACATTAGATTCAAAACCAAAATTTTGAACCAAATACATAACATCATTATCTAGTCTATAGAAAGAAGGGTGAAATAGCTACCAAGACGCGTTTCGTCCCTGCTAAAGGACTCTTCAGAGGTGTGGGTGTGGGTGTGGGTGTGTTCTAGCTACCAAGACACGTTTCGTCCCGGCAAAAGGACTCTTCAGTTGGCAAATAATTCTTATGATTATGGAAAATTAAAATAAATTTAAAATTCAAAATCAAAAAGATTAATTTATCTGACATCCATATAGAATAAAAGTTTAAGTTTTTAAGAAAACCAAGATCGACACGACGCGTTTCGTCCTTTCTTAAGGGACTCATCAGGTATCTTCGGTAGCCTATTATAATTACATAAAGTAGAAACTCATTTAAATAAAAATTCGCAGAAGTTTAAACTTAGACATAATAATAAAAAATATAATTTCAATAAATTAGAACAAATCTTAATATTAAAATGGCAAATAATTATCTAATCTCGATGACTTCGTAAAATCAAAGAATTCAAAATAATTATCAATTGATTTTAAAGGTTGCGTTCATTCATTCAGTAAGTTATATCTAGTTCGTAGCAGGTAATAGAGGGTGTGTTTTAGTTTGAATGAATCGACCATAAAATAAATGGCATTGATCATTGTTCGAAATTGATCTTTGATAACTTCTAGGCAATATCTTAATTTTAAGATTCGCTAATAAGAAGTATATTCAACGTTTCCAAATAGAATAATGTTGGAACTTTCTATCAAGAAAGATTTTTTTTAACTAATGTATAAATGAGCACAGAAAAGTAAATTTGTTTATTAACTAGTGCAAAAGCACTATAATGCTTATAGATCTGATACTGTTTTATTTCAATGCCATCCTTATTACTATTAATATTACTATTAATATTAATATCAAATCATGAATTATTTCGTTCCTCTTTGAAGAATATAATCATGAACTAATCGATATAGTAAATATCGAATTCTTTAAGATATCAGATTACAATAATAAATTTCTTGTTGTACTGAAAATCGTATCTAAAAAGAATTAATCCATGATTGACATCCTAAATCATAAAGATTGCGGAGGATGATAATCAGAATACTTCGAATGCGCTAAATATATAGTCAAACAATAGCTTCTTAAATTAAATGAATAGCAATTCGATGAAGCATCTTCAATAAAATATTGAGAATTGCTTCAGCTTGATCTAGATTTAATAATTTGACGTCTCTTTCATGACGGTGTGGGTGTGGGTGTGGGTGTGGGTGCATAGGACATTCAACACCCACACCC